GCACATTGTAAAATTCTTCTCCTCATTAGATCAACATTGTCTTCAATACACATGAATTAGACAACTAGGTTATCACGTCCTGCGCATAATGCTTAACAGGAGCTTCAGCCCATTGACTACCGTAAGCTCATAGTCACAACTACGGTGTGACTCAGTCTCTAGAAAACAACAATGGATACGCTAATCTGAGGGCCGATCAAGCGAAAGCGAATTTAAGAATGATATTAAAGGTATTTATAGAATCGGCAAGTACCACTAGACGTGAATGATCCATCTTTCAGTATGGCTTCCCATAAAATCTATAATTGAGGACATTGCTGAAGTCTAATGTTGTATGATTCTGATCCGGAATATTGGCCAAGTATTATGTCAAAGTATATTGAATGGTACAGAGATATTTTAAGAAATATTAGAAGTGGATTCAATTGCATTTCCTCCCCAGATATTCCCTCACCAGCTTATATACATAAGATGTCGGCTTATCTAAAACGTAAAAGTTGATTTTTCATCATGGATGCGCTAGCCAGGATCCACAGTATAGCTGTGAATCCTTTTTTTTTTTTTGAAATCATTTAATGTGTATTCAGCTATCTAGCTATGACACATGACCAGTGCTATGTATACATGTGGGATGACTCTTCTGACGTTAGAGACATTCATACTCTGGATTTCATTTGCAAATACCACTATGAGGTATGTTCGCTTACACAAACAGTCGACCCTCCTCCGTTAGTACCCACCAAAGGGAATTTAAAAACCTTTGGTTATCCAAGAATGCCTTCGTCATCCATGCATGCCAGCGCCGCGAGAAATATGGTTGTGTTTTGCCAGATTGGAACCAGCGGTCTACTGTCTCAAGTGGGATATGTGTTCAAGCTATCCAGACTCTACTTGGCAGATCGGCCAAGACAATGTACCACCGCACCATCCAACCATGGCGGTGTTTATAGTGTCGCCTGCACTCTCGCAACAGAAGTCTTGGCACGCACAAAGCTCAATTTGTAAAAACTCCTTGCCAAAATTCAAAATTCCACGCCCTTGGAGACTGTATCCATCCTCTGCATCATCCTATCAACTTGTCCTGATCCCTCTCACATCCATCCCAAGGAATTGTCTTCCAGATTTGTGCGCCACGCTTTGCTTCCTCCGTCGGGTGTAAATATCGGCGTGGGCGTGTATCTGGCGACCAGCTAAGGCCAAAGAAAGTCGAAGAGAAGTGTGGTCATTGGAATGAGGATGTACTAGGTCGTACTTGTAGACTTGATGAGGCTTAGGTAGGAATCGATTTCGTTAGGAGTGAAAGATTGATATGGTGGAGTATTTTGAATCATTGCCTCGTGGGCCACCTTGTTCGGTATTGCGAAATTTGACTGAACTTGGCTCTGGGAGAATATTTCACTCCCAGGTTCGTAGAGGACACCGCGTACAGGTGTTCAGTCTTGCCCTCCAGCTGTGAATCCTGTATAGCGAAGTAGAGAAGACAATTATGAACATTTTAGACCAACACAGAATCGTACAACTCTTCACTGAATCATTACGATCGATCGTGAAACCACACTGTAGTCTATCCAACATAAGAACCATTTATCATTTATCATATCATTTCTGCTTGGCCTATCGGTATTAATTGAGTTGAGCTAATTGAGTAAGAAACAGATTCCCATGTCAATCTCCTGAAAATTACAACCTCAAAAATCTTTAGCATGAAGTGCGCGCACAAACATAATGAACGGACATGATTTGGTAAGCCTGATCAAAGCGCGAGAGTAAAGGAAAAGGGAATCACAAATGCTGAAAATTTTCAAATTAACTCTCAATCAATACAATTGAATTTAGCGCGCGCAAAAGACTGGTGCTTCGACAAGGTTTGGTATGTTGAATAGGCTAGGGATAACATAGAAGAGTAGATAACGATTATCTGCGTTTGATGATATGATGAATAGCTTGGTTGTGATATATCTACGTACCATAGTGGTAGATAGGACTTAGATACACATATTTGGTACCCACTATATAGTAAATCTATTACGCTCAGCTATGTGGTATGGTAGATTTATTAGCTGGTGCATAGGTAGTTATTATAGCAGTATGGCATTATGGCACATGGATGGGTCCCAGTCTCCATGTAACGGCGTTATATGTAATACTGGGTGTAGTATGAGGAATGGGTTGTTTATATAGAACGAAAAGCATAGTTGCTCAGTTGGGAAGACACTTTGGTGCGTTGCAAACTGGCTCCGTGATCGGTCTACAAGCGAACAAGGTAGGGGATAAGGGACGAGCTTCACCCAGTCTGTAACATAGTAATCATCATAGTAACTTTACTTCGGCACATTAATGAAGATACAACTCTATAAACTATTTTAGCTGCTCCAGCGCAAATGTACATTCCCAAATCATATACCAATCATAATAACATCACCGTCTATGCGGGAAGTATCACAATCATAGTTGCATGCCATACTCTACCATACTACTCTAGGAGGACTATTCTCAACACCTGTCAGTGGTGTACCCTACGAACCTCCAGCTCTCACTGTAGAGTCTTCAGAGCCTAGATTGGGTGACAAAGTCCTCACTTCGACGAGGATTCCGAATCGTTTTCGCCGTCTGTATCGTCTTCATCTCTCAACACATCCCCCATATCACCATTATCATGAAGATAAACACGATCAGATCAGACAGTAGGGCTGGAGCCCTACTCATCACCAACCCTTGATCATGGAGGAAAAGCCATCAGATGAGTTTCCGGAGCGTACCCAGCACCCGATACGGAGATGGTGGATTGGATCAAGTCGGTCTCGACTGCTACTAAGGGAGATATAAATGAATATGCGCACCTCATGTGATCCCGGTGTCTAGGCCTCGCCTGGCTGGGGCTGCAGGATTTTTGAGACTTTTTCCCGCGCACGCAGTTTCCATTGCTACCTTTTTTTTGGGTAGAAGGTTCCGTGGAAAAGGTGGCCGAATTCCACGGGTAAACAATGAGCTGAATGGCTATTCATCAAGGGGAATATATCAATGATCTTTGAAGTAACAAAAGAGGATAGGAGCACTGTACAAGGTGTTGCCTGGGTCAGAGAGGAGCCCAATGTGCTAGATAGTCATAGACTCAAGTAGTACAATAAAAACACAAACAATGTTGATTGTTGCGTATCTTTGGAATGCAGGCTAGATGAGCACGCCAGTGTCGTTGCTTCGCACTTGACGAATCGCATACACGCCTTTGATGTGTTGTTTTGCCTTTGTTGGCAGCTCTTCTGGCTCCAGGTTTTGCACTCCATCTATTTTTATGCGAGCAGCGGTTTTATTCATCTACGGAGCTATAACCGGCGCGTGGGTCCTTGGTGGCGGTGCACCAGGTACCAGTGCAGGTGCAGCTTTTCGGGCGGGATCCGCGAGACTCTTGTCGGCCTCCTCCAATGCCATCATCCTATACTTTACCCATAACTGTAGGTCAAATTTTTTTTAATAATTTCTCTAAGATTTCAAGGTTTGTATACTTTGAAACTGTCAGCGTTCCACTGCCTTCAGATGAGTTTGCCGTTGCTGTTGTCGCTGTTCGCGCGGCGCCCAGACCACTGGATTTATCCACACTAGCTCCCACATTCACCATGATATCGCACGGAAGCTTTAAAAATGGAATAGCTGTAAAAAATTACAAAAATGTAGTCTACAAAGTCAAATCGATGATAAGGTAGCGTGGAGCGCTCCACAGTTTCTTTGTTAAAATAATAAATAATGAGAATTGTCTGTTGGCTTGAATTAACTTATTACTAGGGTTAATTCAATGCAAAACTAAAGATACTATAGTGAAGCGTGTATTGTGTCTTGTGTATATCACATCTCTAAAGATATGAAGGGCGTGGAGTTTGTGGTATTTACTGAGTCATCGTCCTGATGACTCAGCAACGGAGGACTGTATCACACGTAATGCATGATGTTTTTTATTTTTTTTTAATTCATAGTGTTTCTATTTAAATCATTTAATGTGTATTCAGCCATCTAGCTATGATAAATGACCGGTGCTCTGTATGCATATTGGATGACTCTTTTTGCGTTATAGACACTCATACTTTGGATATCATTCGCAAATACCACTATGAGATATGCTTGCTTACACAAACAGTCGACCCTCCTCCGTAAGTACCCACCAAAGGGAAGTTTCAAAACCTTTGATTGTCCCAGCTTGCCTTCGTCATCCGTGTATACCAGCGCCGCGAGAAATATGGTTGTGTTTTGCCAGATTGGAACCAGCGGTCTCCTGTCTCGAGTGGAATATGTGTCCAAGCTGTCCAGACTCTACTTGGCAGACCGGCCAAGACGATTTACCACCGCACCATCCAACCATAGCGGTGTTTATAGTGTCGCCTTCACTCTAGCAACAGAAATCTTGGCGCGCTTGTAAAGATCAATTCATAAATTTTGTTGTCTGTTGTGAAAATTAACACCCGTGGGGTGTTGTCCATCCTCTGCATTCTATGCATGCCCTTGCAAAATTGTCATGATTTATCTTACGCTTATTCCAATAAACTGTCTCCCAGGTTTGTGAGTCACACTTTGTTTCCTCCGTCAGGTATAAATATCGACGTGGCAGTGTATTTGGTGGTCAGCTGAGGCCAGAGAAAGTCAAAGCGAGATGTGTTCATTGAAATAAGGATGTACTAAGTCGCACCTGTAAACTTCATGAGGTGTTGGTGGTGATCGATCTCGTTAGTAGTGAAATATTGATTTGGTCAAGGGTGGTGAATAATTGCCGCGTGGGCCGACTTGTTCGGTGTTGGGAAATTGGACTGAACAAGGCTCTGGTAGAAAATTTGACAATCAGCTTCGTAGATGACACCGCGTACAGGTGTTCAATCTTTGCCCTACTCCATACTTTCAAAAGTTGTTAATTTTCGTCACAAACAAAGCAAGCCTTACATAATCCTTCTATCTCGTGCACTCAAACTGTTAGTCACTTATCAAGCTTGCTATTCAGCATCATCAAGAATGTTACAATGAAGAAGCGCATTAGTTCAACTTTGACCCTTTACAGAGGCTTCAAAAAATCCCATCATAACCTTGTTAACACTAGGAAACTACACTCCAGTGAAATATTTGAGGCAAATAACAAGTATTTTCACCTCATACAGCTTTTAGATATGATAAGCATGGCTGATGATAATTAGACAGTTCGACGTGGTAGTAATCGGGGGTGGTCATGCTGGATCAGAAGCATGTACCGGAGCGGCGCGATCAGGGGCAAAAACTGTTCTCATAACCCCAAAGCTCGACAATATCGGTGTCTGTTCATGCAATCCAAGCTTCGGGGGCATAGGCAAGGGAACTATGCTCAGAGAAATCGACGCACTAGATGGTGTATCTAGTCGAATTATCGATAACGCTGGCGTTCAGTTTAAAGTTCTAAACCGAAAAAAAGGACCAGCTGTTTGGGTATGGTATTACCCTCTCGGTGCGTAAATTTATATTGACAAAACTTTTAAGGGCCCTCGGGCACAAATCGACAGAAAGTTATATCAAAGATTTATGCGATCAGAATTAGAATCATATCCGAACTTACAGATCTTGCTTGGAAGCGTTGCAGATATTGTGGTGTCGAAGGGCGATGGCGAGAAAAAAATAACTGGTGTTCGTTTAGAGTCAGGTGAAGTTATCATGACCAAGAAAGTAGTCATAACGACTGGAACATTTCTGGGCGGTGAAATACATATCGGTCTTGTTGTCTATCCATCTGGTAGAATGGGAGAAGCAGCGACACACGGCCTTAGCAAGTCACTAAAAGACGCCGGATTTACCCTCGGAAGACTTAAAACTGGAACGCCGCCCCGCTTATCTAAGGAGTCAATCGACTTTAAGCTCATGGAAAAACAATTTGGAGATGATCCACCTGTACCATTTAGTTTTCTGAATGAAACAGTATCTGTTCAAGATCAATTAGTTTGTTATTCGACCTACACAAATGAAGCTGCCCATGATGTGGTCAGGGCCAACCTGGATAAATCTATCCATATAAGAGAAACTGTAAAAGGCCCAAGATACTGTCCATCTCTCGAGTCTAAAATAATTCGCTTCGCAGATCGAGACAAACATATTATCTGGCTCGAACCAGAGGGATTCGACAGTGAAGTTATCTACCCGAACGGAATCTCGATGACCATCCCTGCCGAAGCTCAGGAGCAGGTGCTAAAGAAAATCAAGGGGTTGGAAAATGTCTCAATTCTACAACCTGGGTATGGAGTAGAATATGATTACGTTGATCCACGAAGCCTGAAATCTACCTTAGAAACAAAAGCTATTCAAGGTCTTTACTTGGCCGGACAAATAAACGGAACTACTGGTTACGAGGAAGCCGCCGCACAAGGTATTGTCGCTGGAATTAATGCAGGGCTTTCATCTCAATCTAGACCGTCTCTAATTCTCTCACGTGCCGATGGTTACATTGGAATTATGATAGACGACCTAACAACTAAGGGAGTATCCGAACCTTATCGAATGTTCACTTCACGTTGCGAATACCGCATGAGTTCTCGAGCGGATAACGCTGATATCAGACTCACCAGGAAAGGTCGTGAAGCAGGCATTGTTGGTGATAGGCGTTGGCGTACCTTCTCTGACGAACAAACGCAGATCCAGGAACTAACATCTATCCTTGAGGCGAAAATTGCCAGCTCACCAACATGGATCGATGCTGGCTTCAAGGTCTCCAATGGCTCAACCAAACGAAGCGCTTTTGATCTCCTTCGCGTAACTGGAGTCACTCCGCTTGATATTGCCCATATCCTCCCTGAAATAAATAATTATTCGCCTCGGATTCAAACTCGTGTAGGAATTGAGTCTACTTACGCTCCGTACATATTGCAGCAAGCGACACAGCTCAATCAATTTAAAAGAGACGAATCTACTAAACTACCAACTGACCTTGACTACAACTCAATCTTCGGGTTATCAATGCACGAAAAATCACTTCTTGATGCAACAAAGCCAGAATCACTAGGTCAAGCAAAACGCATTGAGGGGCTTACTCCCGCAGGAATTTTACGATTGTTAGCTTACATACAAGACCGAAGACGGGCTTCGGCTCGAGAAGCTGCATTACGAGATGTTCAAAATCGAAAGGAGCTATATATCGTTTGATCATCAGCCTTACTAGGAAAAAAGGGAGAAAATTGGAGCAACCTGAGTGTTAATACCATTTCATAATGATGTGAACAAAATTTAAGTGCAGGAAACCGCTTTATATCTAGTATCTTGCAACTCAATAAAATCTACCTCGTTATACTTGGTGGATTAAACTACCTAGAAGTTTTATCGACTCTAATGATAACTTTATAATTTTTCCAAAATAAGAAATTATCACCAATTATTGGCCAACACTTCATGATAAAAGGAGAAATTTTGGATCCATCATTTTTGATAAAATCATATATTCGCCGACGAATTCTAGGTTAATCTCGATGTGGCTCCTGTACATCATATTGACAGCCTTGTCCTTCCTATCTCAACAACATGAGAATTGAAATGTTCATTTGGACCTAAAAATGAATCTAGTGTTATTTAACGCAAATTTGCGGGTATTTTAATAAATAACACGCTGATTTCATTAACCGTGTCGCATTAAGGACTAACAAATTTTTAATCTAAATGCACTAGTAACCTGCTTACCACGGGTTGATTTTGGTCAACTCAGTATACACTTCATCCTGGGACTGCAAGGAGAGAAGTTTGAATAGGTATCAAAGTTTGAGTGAATAAATACATGAGGAATTCCTAAGAACTTCATTGATCGAAGACCCCATACTACAAGATAACGATTGTGTAATGCGCTGTAGTACTTATTTTAACAAATCGTCCGTGGTAAAATTCCACGATTGATGCCACAATGCAACACTTTCTGATTATATGTCAATAATTTCAATAAGACTTGACGCGAGATAACAATGAGTGATAATAGTGCTATAAACATCGAAATATTTTCGAAAATCTAAGTACTAATAATTTCAACAACGGCTTGGCTATTAACGAGCATTACCATCGACTGAGCTTCTCTTTTGACTAGCTCATAACTAAAATTCGGCGCTTAGAAAATTACTCAAATCTTATATAGACTTGGCCCTGATGAAAATAACTTTAAAAATGGCAAATTGACCTCTCAGTAGTAGATCTGTTACGATTTGACCGTTGTTGTGCTTAGGAGGAAACCTAAGTGTTTAGTTAGGAATAATTACGATAAGACTGAAAGGGGAGGAATGGACAAATATAGATGAAATGGCACTAGTAGCCAGGAGGTCGCAGCAATATCACCGCGTAATGGCTCCTGATAATATTTGGCTCAATAACAAGTTTTAGACCTAGGGGAAAGTTATCAATCAGCAGATTCACGAGGTGGATCAAACGTTATAAATACCTGTCAGTAGTAGCTAGAGATGTCATTTCTCTTCACATAGTTGAATTAATCAATCTATTCATAGCCAACTCGGTTTGGTTCACAAGGTCAATGCATCAAATTTCACTGGGAGTCTAATTTTATCTTTTCAGAATATTTGATTGTCTTTTTTTTAGACTCAGAAAAGACGGGGTATGAAGGACCACTGTGCCTGTTGTCCAGCTATATATGTGCCATGAGTAAGGTATCCTCTTTGCATATTTCACAGCCCATATCAAATATTACTGCCACAAAAACGTCTTCATTTGATCATATAATCAGAAGGGCTGCTACTGGTTTACTATCTCTCCTATCCACCAGATGGAACGAGGGCCGTTTGCGGGTAAACTTGCAAAAGCCACGAGGTTTGGGGCTCTCACCGAAACCAAGGCTAGATTCGAATGCATAGGTGCGAAGTTGAGGGATTGGTAAAGACAGGCTATTTATTTATTTTTTTTGCATCAGATTTTAATTGCGTATGCAGCTATCTAGCTATGACACAATATCAAAGAAAAGTATAGAATAGATGATTCAATTTAAAAGTAGAGCACTCATGCCTCAGATTTCATTTGCAAGTACCACTGCGAAGTTATGGCGGCTTTTTCTTCACCCTAGGTCAACCCTCATCCGTGAATACCCACTCAGGGGAACGTCTCAAAAACCCTGAGTTATCCAGACATGCCTCCATCATCATTCAACTTCTCTCCGCGCGAAATATGATCTGAGATGTCTCCTTCCCAAGTGGAGTAGGTGCCCAGGCTACTCAAACTATACCAGAGAACACCACCAGGAGGCGGACTACAACACTTTCCATCATTGGCTTGTTTTTATAGTGTCAGCTGCACTCTCGCAAGCGAAGTCTTGGCGCGCACAAAGCTTAATTCATAAAACTCCTTGCCAAAATTCGGAATCTCACGCCCTTCGAGGTTATATCCTTCCTCCGCATCATCTTGTAAACTTGTCCTGATTCCTCTCACATCCATCCCAAAGAACTATCTCCCAGATTTGTGCTCCACGCTTTGATTCCTCCGTCGGGTGTAGATATCGGCGTGGGCGTATATTTGGTGGTCAGCTGAGGCCAGAGAAGGTCGAAGAGTGCTATGATCATTGGGATGAGGATGTACTAGGTCGTACTTGCAGAATGGATGAGACTTAGGTAGAAGTCAAACTCGTCGGGTGCGAAAAAACGACGTGGAGGAGTATTTTGAATCATCGCCTCGTGGGCCGACTTCTTTGATATTGCGAAATTTGACTGAACTTGGCTCTGAGAGAATAGTTCACTCCCAGGTTCGTAGAGGACACCGCGTACAGGTGTTCAGTCTTGCCCTCCTAAAGACAGGCTAGTAGCGTGCTATGATCTTGTGTTTACTAATAGACTTCTCTCAGCCAAGCCAACCTTCTTTCAATATCATCAATCATCCACTTCAGAGGATAAATAGAAGGCTATGTTGAAATTTCAGAAATATGGAAGAGAGAGCGACTACCATATAGTAGCTTATTAAATTTGCTCCGTGATTGTTGGTATAATACAGGTCATACACTAAAAGTCTATCAGCTCACTTCAACCCATGAGAGGACTCTTTTAATTTGTTCGAACTATCGTTCGGAAGGACTAGGTGTCCATAGCATTCGTATTGTGCTGTTTAGACGCTACGAATTTGCAATATATCTAAGCTTTGGATTAAGCATCATCCAAAGGTCGGAATCCACAAATCAAAAAGAGCTCCACGCAATGCATGAAGCGTTGTCTGCGAACTAAATCCAGCCACATTAATCATTCCGACAGTGATATTATAGCTACTGAGGAGTATTATAGACTCATTGGATCTTAAAGCTCTCACGGCTCGCGTGCAGCTTGACCTCGGCTTTGTAGATGCTAAAGCGAGAGGCGTAGGCTCGTAGTAGCCACCACTGGTTGGCGTTGAGTCTTTGTCTTCAAAGCCAGGGTTTGGTAACTGCGAAAAGGAGTTAGGGAGATTCAGATCATAAATCGAGTCCCAACAACCAAGCGCATACAATTGAATCTGGCCATGTAAATACAAATGTATTGGGACCAAGAACGAGTGAGTCGGCCGACTTTAATTGCCAACAAGTTCGTGCTTCATGCCGAGACATTACCGCCCAGGTAATGAAATTAGTTGTTAGAAATTGTCAAGGATTTCTAGGAGGAAATATCTCGAAGAACAAGTGTACAATTTCGGACAAGAATTTATTGATAGTTGTATGTGATATCGAACTCTCTTCTCAATATGAATTAATAATGTATAATACTCCGTTAACTTATTTTTACATATACAGATGATTCTGTACTTAAATACAGATCCCGAACTCCCAGTGATCTAGCAACAACCAGCCACTCAATTATCGCAAGGTAGCATTTCCTAGCAACTGCATTCCAGATGCCACTGAATCTTACTTCGTCCAACTGAGCTTAATCATATTCAATCGAATCAACTCAATTGATCTTGATGATCATACCTAGAAATCTAAGCCTTCATACATGCTGAGTCTAGATTTGCAACATTAGTCACATTTTCAAGCTGCGTAGGCAAAAAAGCGCCTGCAGACAGAGCCGTGTAATCCAGATGAAAAAATGAATCCTTGCAGACCCTACACCACACGCTGATGAGGCTGTACTCTGGACGCATAGCAAGTCTATGTTGGCAATGATGTGATACGTTGTAAATTCACGAGTCCGAACGAGCGACTGATCGAGCTTGTCTCTGTAGTCATGGAAAATTTCAACACGCAGGCCCAAGTTCCAGAGTATCATTGCCTCGTCATGCAAAAATCTGGAGATTTGCCATGTCGTACGCCACTTCGGCAAGACACCTCGTGTGTTTGTATGTGTGAGACTGAACTGACATCATGGGGCAGCTTCGCAAATTAGATTTTCTTAGGGTCAACATTAAGAGTAATTGAGAGAATCAGTTATTCGCATTGCCTAGTTCTTGGAGGAACCGGTGAGCAGGGTAGCTGGTCAAGAACCTGGCCGTCCAGGGATCTGAGACGGGATGAGATCACCCCTGGCTCCTTGACCGCATCTCTAGCCGCGCCCCATTAAATCCCGAGGCTATATATAGATCACAGGGATCACTAATCCAGGCTTAGACCTTGGCAGGGGAGAATAAGTTTGCACACCTGGAGAACAACAGGAGTTCATTTTTGTAGATGGCTGTCCTTCCCGGAATATGGCAGGAAAGATGGATTAATTGAGTGCTAATCGTAGAGGAGGTACGAGATTTACTGAATTTGGGAACTATCGGACACGACGGGTCCACGCGGCTGGATTTCTGCATTTTCGATTGGTTAGCCAGTCTTAAATGTGTGCTAAGGACTAGTAAGATTTCTCGGCCGACATGATCTGCCCTGCTCCGGTCCAAACTAGATGCCGTTGGTCGGCGTCGAACCTCAATAGTTGTAGCGTTGATATGAGTCTATATCGATGTAAAATAAATCACAAATTCTTTTTGTCCAGTGAGATTGGCAAATAAAAGCCTGTGTCGCATCGAAGACGACGAGCCCACAAGGAATATTATCTGATTTTAGTGAAGCGGGAGTCTTGAGAGCTTCCCGACCTTCCTACATTGGGGCTTAAACGATTTCCCAAGACCAGATCAAAGGTAGGTTTGCGTGCGCACTAATATCTACGCCTGCGAGCTAAAGACACAGAGTACAGAGGCTGAATACTTGTGAGTGAGGGCGACGAAAACTCAGCACCTGTTAGTGGTATTCCCCCGACGAGAAATATCCCCCCAGGGCCAAGTTCAGTCAAATTTCGCAACGCTGCACAAGTTGGCCCAGACCATGATTATTCGAGACTCCCTTCCAAATCATTTTCTCTCTTGTGAAAAGCCGATTCCAGACTCATCCAGCCAGCTGATACGAGTCAACTGCGCTGATGGGTGGGATCACGACTCTCGACGGCTCAGTCTTCGACCTGAGCTGGCATCCGAATCTACGCTCACGAGAACACGAGTACTCGAAGACCGGCAAAAATCATGGTGTACCCACCTTTGCGGCAGATTTTTTTGGGAAAAATAAGGAGGAGATTAGGATGGATGGACAAGATGACGCGAAGCATAGACGCAGTTTCGGAGGGGAAGAGCAGCGGGTGTTGGGAGATTTACCTGCGACTGGATATCGGGCGCGCCATGAATCCAGACTCGAGTGTTCGGGCGACTCCATGAATATGGTTGTGGCTGGATGGTGCGCCGGTATATCGTTTGGGCCCGTCGTCCACGGAGACCCTGGATGACTTGGACAGAGATCGCTGGTTCGAATCCGGCCAAACACCAGCACATTTCTCGCGTCGCTGGTGTGATTGGATGATCAAAGCTTTGAAACTATGCTGTGGTGGGTGCTCACGGAGGAAGGCCGACTGCTTGTATAAGCAAGAATACCCCCTAGTGGCATTTGTGGGTGAAAGTCATGGTTTGTGCGTCTCTAACTTTAAAGAGTAATCCAGCGTGTACACGCAGCACTGATCATGTTTCACAGCTGGATAGCCGAATACAAAGTTGAATGTTTTGAAGAAAATGAATACTGCTACTCACTCTATCCGCCCCATTCCGCCAGGGTTGCGGACGATAGCACTCTACCAAGCGCTCTACTTTTATGTCCAACACACAACTCATACGGAATCCAGTGCACAAACTCCTTCCATTCACTGTAGGGCGGCCCAGATGTAATGTTAGTCTCACGGCGCGCTTAGTCATACACCCTGTAGAAATAGCCTTCACTTGCAGATACTCTTATTCCGCCTGGTATTCATGCTTGTGTTATCATTATTTTTGGAAATCAGAATAAACTTTGTACATTTCGTTCGTTCGATTGGATCACGACTTAATTCCATGACAATAACATGATATGATCATCATGCATCGAATTTCTCCCCTCAGAACCCTGTGCACATCGTCCTGCCGCGTGCAAGTTAAGCGCGAATCTTCATCGTAGCTTACTCTAATCTACGCATCGAGTTTCCCGACTCTCGCCTTACTACCGAACTCGACCACCGTGCTATACTCGCTTGTGGCATTTCGAATAATTTTGTCCAGTAATTACAGTGTGTTATGCTAGCTAGATCTGACATGTAGTAGGAATCATAGGTAAATGTGAAAATACTTTTTCGATTCTCCAGACACTCTTACTCTGTATTTGGTTCGCAAATACTATTGTGAATCGTGGTTGATTTTAAACTGTCGCTAACCCTTGCCATGAGTGTCATCCAAAGAGAATTCCCGCAACTGATGTGCTTTTGTGCGCTCCTTAGCGACGCTTCTAATATTACAATGATGACTGGGGTACGATACCGACGGTCTGGTAGATCTCCAGCAGCCATATCATTTCTTAAGATAACTGTCGGAAGGAATGCAGCTACTTCACCTGGCAGTTGAGGGTGATCGAAGCGGAACCAGATAAATCGATCTTATGTCATCCATCTTGAATCAGGACTCGCCCAGCCTGCTGTCACCTATTAAATTCTTTTAGCCCCTGCAATTACCCACACTCATCATACATCTCAGAGAAATATCTGTTCGACATCTCTTTATCGCACTGATCAGTTGGATTGGCATCAAGAGAACCATTTTTAGCCACTAGGTTACAACCCGCTTGGAGCCTCGCCCCTATTTCTCTCTATGATATTACACACTGTCTCCAGCCTGACTTGTCTCAACAGGATGTACGTCTGTAAAAAGTCCGATAAAAGTGGAGAGGAATCGAACGTCTTACCATTTCGGATAAGATGTGTGAGGCAAATTTTAGGGATAGAGGCTACTCATATGCTGATGCTCAATTCGAAAGTAGACCACTCACCACTCACCACTCGGAGACTTTGTTGGTAGTGTACTTGGGTCTTGGTCATGGAAGAAATACTGATTGGTTCAGTTGGCGATCCGACACACTGAGCGTATCGCCTTTAGAACGAAGGTATGTCAATGTGAACCAGAATCGCTCTACATCGTGAGGGGAATAACCCCGAGTCTATAGTCTCATCCCTGAACTTACCAATGACACAACTGATAAATGACTAGTAGTCAATCACCAGCTGCTTGATGCTTTTGGACGAGACTTAGTTGGATTTAGTTGTGGGTAGCTAGAGCCAGCCATCTAATCTATGTCTTCCGACGACTTGCTTAGACATCCCACATGCACAAGCCCACGCGTCGCAAAGTACAACTTCCCCATAGGTACTTACCCGATCACCATCACTTTTGCACCTACTGTGTGACTCTTAGTGCGCTAGACAACGTTGCTAGTTTATACACCACTCACTTATCGCCTGCCTCCGTGCTTGCTGCTATCACATCGCATTGTCCGAAGCCGATTCCGAGACTCGGATTGTAAAATACCTGGCGCTAAGATAAATTATTCTTACTTGCGACGATGTTGTTACTTCAGGCTTTCAGGATGACCGGAAACTGAAATGGCTTCTTTTAATTCCTTTATCACCGTAGGCCGAAAATGATACCTGACTGATTGTGAGAAATTTCTCACCCTGCAACTGTCGTGATACTCGATGAAATACTGGATCGGTCTGTATGTCGCATTTCGTTGAATACGACCTGTCATCAGCCCTCAGATTGCACCATCCGATGGTTAATTTAAACGCAATCAAAACGTTACAATTTAACTTTTGAGAGAAATGATTGGGAGGGGACCCATGAACTTTATTAGTACAAGGTTAGCGGAATCATAGCGATGGGCTCTAGGATGGCTTATTTGCCAAGATTCTTCAACACATAATTCATATTATTACTAGAGCTTCCAGGATTTTCATTAAACGCTGGGGATAACAAATTACACGAGCCATTTTCTTAAATATTCCTCAAACAAAAGTCAATGGAAAATACAATTTTCAGCGAATATACTTGCTCATCAATTCAAAAGTCTGGACGAAACGATGAATGTTTCTCCAAAGTAAATCATCGAAAGTCACTGTTCAACCTTTCCGTGGGCTTGGCCGATAGTAAGTTCTCATTTAGAGCTGTTAATTGTCTCGTTTATGCCAGTAATCAAATGACATAAACACGATTAAACCTAGTAGTTTAATTACATCTTTCGTTGCTCAACTCCCATCGATAATTCCAACGCCAGTGATCAAACCGCGTACGCCTGAGTTTGAAGTGAGCTTTTCAGTAGTCGTCAGGAACACTGCGGCTGCACTAAAATATGGCCTTACCAGTACTACGAAGCCAGAACCGTAATGGTCTGTTCTAGAATTCGATCAATTTATTCGGACTACTGGTAAGCTTCCACAAATACTTTCCCCATCCGTACGCACCTGCAACCAAGAGTACATAGTAGGCCATTGTATATAGAAATGTCGATATTTTTCTTCTTCCAAATGCATGACCTCTTTTTATTTCTCCTACCCCTTCGTGGATACCTATTTGGTCATCTCTCACTGTTCCCCAAATCCTTGGTAGCCCCATCCAGTTACAAAATGCGTGAACAGCTATAACACTCAAGAGGCTGCCCGTTCGTAGATATATGAAGGTCGCATACGCTCCAAATAACGATGTGTAACCAAGTTGGAGGGCGGAGCGAAGTAATGCGACAATGACCGGAGTATCCGGGTGCGTGACTCGGAATTCATAGAAATGGTGAAAATGTGCTAGTCCAAAGATAATGGGCCCCAACAGAATCATTTTACTTACGGACGTATTGGAGAGCAGAAGAAGCGGTACGGAAGCTGAACGAAATAGTACTTCTTCAGTAACTGGACCCTGTTCAAAACGTCATCAGTTTATTGCCTCCATCAGGTTTGCGCCCAGGAAATTGGTACCACGACATAGTTGCGCCAGCCTATCCAGCTTCCCAGCACAGTTTGAACTCCTCGCAGACGAACCCAGTCTTTCCACTCGTCCAAAACGAACCCTTTCTCAAAGATTGGTCCCGCGTAGAGAATTGATGTGAGCGCAAGGGACTTTAAGGTTTCTGCGATTCCCACGGGTATGTAACCCATTTTAGTGAGTGGCACTAGCGAAATGCCATCATTATCCGCCTTGGCCAGAAGGACCAAGGTTGAGATGGAGCAAATAGTGCATGAGACGGTCACAAGGCGTATGCGAGCCCGGATCATCGAGGGGGCATCGCGGGGACGGAACTGTGACGGCCGCGTGTTTGAAAAGACATAAAAAGGAACGACGTAAATGAACGTGTAGAGAATCTATCTCGATATGGGTTAACTCTTTGAAGTAGCAGGAAAGTGAACCGACCAGCAGGAAAAGTGCGGTCACGGCGTCGATCATGGGGAATGCAAAGTGTCTGACAGTCAATGTCGAGGGCTTTTGTAACAGATGGGACAGATGAGGACGTCGATTATTTGATGAAGATGCTGCGTCCGATCATCGTCAGGCAGATTTCTCTCGCGCAGGCTTGCTAACGAGAGCCGCGAGTTCAGTGACCTATGCTTTGTTTTTTTTGTGGAGTCCTTCATCCCACCCTCCATCGACTAATTATGTAGTTCTTGAATTCCACTCAAGGTGCCGTCTCGCACGACAGGGGGTGGAGCCGGACGATCAGATGGTAGGTGCTGTGGAATAGGTTTGCTAAAACACAAACAGCTTCACTCTCTACGAGCTCGTTTATCCATAGCCTCAAAGTATCTAGAATTGGCCAAGCCAGGCGTGGAATGGAATCTTGTCGCCCGGGGAAAAAGGAGATAATATCGCTAGGGCGGACCAGCCAAGGGTTCACTTTCTCCGCGGGTCATAACGAAATTATTCAGCGAGGCCTAAGATTACATGGAGACGGCTCTCACTATTCTTCCGTGCATCGACAACGAATCAGACCCTACTTAGGATTCATGTGATTCTTTCTGCCTGGTGCTTCTTTTAGTTAGTTGTGGTTGTCAGGTTGGACAGCTCCCTCGATATCGTCGCCACCATTGTCGCGCTGTAACCAACAATCCTATGTAACTCTGTATCCATTCCTAATCCACTAAAAATATTGAACTAAAATTCTCCAGAGTCCCGCCAGAAACCAGCACACGCTCATTGCGAGCCTTTACGTCGATCGGGACACATTGAAATTACAGATTGCATTATCCAAATTATTTTATGCACAGGTGAGGAGACTTGGAAAGGTAAATTGTGTGCCAGCGTCAACCCGGAAAAAGATGAAATTACGAGATGGGAGGGATGGGGGGTCTAAGATGACAATTAGAATGAACAGTATCTGTAGGTCCACGCTAAGCAATGCTATGAGGTGATGAGGTTGACAATAAAATCAATGACTATGGTGATTAAAATAGAGATTAGTCGGTATATCTGACGATTCAAACACATATATACGCCAGTCGATGCAATCCGCTCCAGTCCTCTGATTGCCGCCTATCCGTCACCTCAAGAGCGTCGTGGTCTTGCTTCCCTCCTGTTTATCTCCCGTCCTCTCTCCCCCCCCCCCTGAATTCGACATCCCCAGTCGCCGCCTCTTCTGCGGGTCCTTCAGATTTCCTGCCGGTGTCTGCACGTCGGAGGACGCGTTCTCAGCTACAATTTTGTGTACCGCCCAAAGGTTTCCACTGCCAAATTGCCTCTCGTGGTGGAACAAATCGTACCGCCTCTTATCACAGATAAGACTGACTACAAGTCAGCAAAATCATTCGGTTACTTGTATCACAAAGTCTTATTATTTTACTTCGACCTGAACATCGCTTTTTGCTCTAAACTCAGTCTTAATAGCATACCTTTTCTTAATGATTCCCACACATCTAATCTTCTTAGCCATCGACCTACTTACTTATATATCTTCCTCCGGCTGACTGACCGGGCTATAGTTCAGACGAAAAGCGCTTGACTCTCGGTATCTGTACGTTTCGGCTCAAAAGCTACGGTTACGAAGTATCTCATTCTATATAATCGGAGATTATCGTCTCACATTCGTCTCAACTAGTTGATAATTTGTTCGAGAGTATTATTAGAATTTAGAAAGAATAACGCTAACCTCGTCAACCACTTGACTGGTGAAATCTTCTATCTGAACATAGGGGCTACGTCTGGAACAGCTTAGAATTAAATTGCATCGGACCCATGGAGGAGCGGAAGAGTGTACAATTTCAGACATCCAACCAGGTTCTTGCGACAGGTAGAACAAATCGATCACTCAGGAAGCCTCTTCATGAGCGCTCGGGATCCGAGTCAAACGTCAACGTTTTGGCGGCTATTCGGTTGGTACCGAAGACCCCACCCAAACTACTAGGTTGCGGAGATGCCGACAACGCCGCCCACTACTACGCTCGTCCGCCGCTTCCTACTTGTACAACTCATAATCTAAGTCCCAAGAAAGGTAAGGGTGGAGATGAGTTGACCAGAGACGTCCAACCATTATCCGAGTTTCCATTACTTGCCCAGAAGCCCAAAATCGTTGGCCATCGATTACCCAATACAGTACAAGCCTTGCCGCGCAATCCCCTGACACCTCTTAGTACACCGTCTCAAAATTATGCGGCAACCTCACCAAATCGATCCCCTTCATCAAAACCCTCGAGCAGGAAACGCCAGCTGCGTATTCACGAAGACAGTAAAACTTTCTCGCTACTACTACCCGAAAACGAAGCGCCTGATGTAGACCCAAAAATAACTCAGGAAGAATGCGTCAACTCCACATCGCAACCCTCGCGCATTATATCTTTGAAACCCTCCACCGAGCGCACAAGCCTAACAGCCCATGCCGAAGGGATTGTCACAGAATTTAGCAAACCGGGATCACTGACTCCCAATGATTCTTCATCTTGCCTCACCCAAGCAGGGACCAACAACAACTCAGTTGCAATACCAACCTCTAACACGCCAAAACTACCTAATCCTATTGATTCTATAAACAGCTCCCCCTGCAATTATGAATTTGTCGGTGGTCTCCGAAAGGTTGCCAAAAGTCCGAATCATAAACAGCAGACGTCCCGAGTCCTTGAACATCGATCAGACGAAGACACTCTCTCATCAGTGCCATACGCTCTCGCACCTCAGGCTTCTTTCTCCTCGCTCGATTCTATTTCCTCGGAGACGACGAATTACAAGACATACGGTGACACATCCGCCTCAGTTTCTGCTAAATCACTAGCACTCTCTCCCTCTCGTGAATTCAATCATCCACTTTGCCAAGCACCCAATTCCGGCCTAACTTTTAAATTTATTGATCCACCAAACAAAAAAGAAAGTCACTCATTATCCAGGGTACCTACTCCTTCCAAAAGTTGTTCTCAGTCATCACTGAACCTCCCATCCCTCGGCGCAAACCCTTTTGCATCTAGTGAAAGTTTTACCCACTGTAAATCTCAGTCAAAGGAATTCATACGGACTGGATCGTTGACATCTCTCTCTTCAACCTTCTCACATCGAAGTTCTCTTCGTGGAATTTTTGGTTCTGGATCTTTCATTCACATACCCTACCGCGCTTTCAAGTCCATTCAGGGTCAGACTAGCCCAAGCTCATGGGTAGAGCCTCTCTCGCTCTACGCACCACAGTCACACATGAACGAGCATCCTCACCAATGGAGTTCACAGCTATCAACTGTGCTCTCAGTTTCCGAAGGCGGCTCAGACCATGCATCTATCGCCTGGTCAACAAATAGTCGGAGCTCCAGCAGCAGGGCACGGGTTATGAGCATAGGATCGGGGTATATGTCACATGATCCTTTAAGTCCAGCGTCTCGGAGCCTTTCTTGGAGTGGTTCAGTTATTGACCCGCCGCCATCAATTTTTTCGCACAGACCCCGCCACAATAGCAATTCTTCTGGGAGAATAGTCGTGGAACAGGATGAACACGGGGACGGTATAACAGACTTGCAAAACATGCCTACTAGACCTTTAAGGAGACGAACCTCGGGCTTTTACAGCACAACATCTTCGGAAACCGGACGCACAAACACCATGCGATCATCCGGTAGTACGCGATCGAGCAGTCTAAACTTGTCCCTGATTCCGGCTTGGGCAAGACTTTACTACGGCAGTGGTGAGAGCCGTCCTCTGTGCTCTTCCACGAACATGACTGGTGCCCTCGACAGTCGAACTAACTCATTGCAAGCAAACTCACCCAGCTCTCAGTTCTTTTCGTCAAATATATATAGTCCGCGAAATCGGCAACATGAAAGCGACCAACTGCGTGAAGTCTCGCTGGATATGAACTCTGAACACAACTTCTCGAATGCCGGGTCAGATGAACGATCCTCGAGAGGTAGCAACAAAGAAAGAACTGGTAAAGAATGGATCAAGAACGGCTTGTGGTCACCACATCTGCGACCTGACAGACTCATGAAACGGAGCCATTTCTGGGACCCGCCCTCCTTGGATTTTGCGTCGGACGAAAGCTTATTCGGAAGACGGAAAATTCAAATCGTAATGTTTATTTTGGGCTTTTTGGTTCCCTTTTGTAAACTAGTTCCTAATCCATTACGTAAAGCATTTGGGGCTAACTTGAATACACAGTTTGGATGATAGCATCTTTTCTCCCTCTTCCTCACTCGCCTGTGGTTGAGATGAAAGAAAATGATCGCAACTCTCCGACATTCGATTATTACCAGGCGGCTCGGAAATTCAACGTCCTTGAGGAGGCTCGTTATGAGAGCGCTGTGTGGTGGCGAAAGCTCAATAGATGGATGTCTTTGGTAGGAATACTGATTATCGCTGTTGTGGTAAGTTCATATTCTACTATACTTGCAAAGTTTCTAACATGGCCTGCGCTACTCAGATCGTGCTCGTAGTTGTAGGAATTCAACAAGGATGGGGGACAGGCAAAGATGATGACTCTTGAAGTGAATTCTCATTTGCAAAATTCCAACCCTTAATCAAGAAGTCTGTTCAATCCTAAACGATCGTCGAAAGATGATACAATCCTCATGGATGCAAACAATCTACCCACCACTCGATTTGTTACCATTCAAATTCTAGGAGCCAGTCAGCCATGTCACAAAGAACAACTGATTGAGTTCAAGAGGACAAACCAGACACCCAAGGCTACCCAAAGGGCCCAAAAGACCAAATAGGGCACACGCTCTTGTCGAAAATTGTAAATGAACCATAGCCTCCGGCTAAAACCTTTAAATCCGACCAACATTCTTAATGCGAGGCGGAAAATCATTTGGTTATCCTTTGCAGTCAAGACATTGGTGCAACTAGTGAAGACTTAGCTCTCACATGATGTACCATCATGAAGCCATCGATCCGCCAGTGCATCCGGCCTTTTTGTAAGAGGTTCACACCACTGCACGCAAAAAATCTGCTCAATCGAAATGGCCGCGTAAGATGAAAAGTGAGTTGGGATACTAAACAGGCTTCAAGGCAATTAGAATGTTGTCGGTTCGTACTTATACCTCCATATTTTAAAACAAACAACATCCAAAAGGATGTCAAGTCAAAATCGGCTCAAATACACGCGCTAAATTTAAACGTTTAGTAATACCAAATTGATTCAGACAATCACATGTGATACGAACAATTCTGAAATGACTTAGTTCTTGTTCAGCTAACATGTCGTCAATTAACAGTGGGAAACTCATAGCAGGGTTTTCTTAACAGAAAAGACCTTTATTACTCAAATGGACTATGATGAGAAAAAGATGAGAGTATAGGGAACTTTCTGTAAAACTTGGCATGCGTTACGCAGTTCGAAAACAAGAATATTATGTACAAAACTCATCACTCAAGCCGGCTTAAATAACCATTAAGGGATGTTTAGGGCACCATATTACTAGACAGTTGTAAATCACTATTGTTAGCTTGAGATATGTTCGATTCTTATGTAGAATAATTTAGTCCAACTCAGATTTTGGTATTTTCAATTTTTTGTCACGTCCATCTTGATGTCCTGCAACAAATCTTTGATCTTCTCCTCCTGGATCGCGGGTATGCCTATTACCGGTTCTGAAGCACTTTCAGAGGATTTTGTTCGTGATATGATGGGCTTTTTCGTTCCAGCCCGAATAGCAAGCTTTCGCTCTAGGTACTCTGTAGCTGGTGATTCGAAGAATAATATGGATAAGGCGGTACCAATTACACCGTAGAAGTATAGGCCCGACCATATCTTCAATGATGAATCGAGTGTTAGAAAGACAAATGGCGCAGTGACGAAAGAAAAAGTTGCCTGGGTTACGAGGAAAGATAAGATGTCGTAATAGGGTTTCAAGACAGTTGGATTAGAAGTCTGTGGATCAAGAAAGAAGGGACGGAAGTAACGGCGGCACTCTGTTGAATGTTAGCATGAGATTTGTGTAAACTCAGGGATGGTTGGTACTTTTTGCTGCAGTTTGGACAAAACTAGCAAGGATGAAAGTGAAGTAGTACCCAGGATAAAAGCCGTGCCAGAGAGCGCTAGTGGCAAAAGTAGCCATACTGGCCCAAAATCCAGGCTTCTTGCCCGGGGGAGTGACCCGGAGATAAATGTAGTTCCGTAGCCAATTACTAGTATTGATATTCCAACTCCCCAAGTATGCGCGGGTATTTTGAGCTGTCTCTACGCCTATAGGGTCCACATGTCGTAAACGATTCCAGGAAGCCTTTCCGGTAATGGGATCGATACCATCGTAACCATACCCAGCAAGAATACAGGCACCTTCTGATAGGGCCCAAACTCCATAATATTTGAGGCGGCTGGTAAAAATGAGCATGTGAAGATTCCAAACCCGTCGTAGAAAGCCCAGAGCCAGGTATTCGTCGCCGAGGTAGAAGTCTGGGTAGTAGACAGCTGACAATTTCATGAACATTAGGATCCAGATAATGCCGCTGGCACCTTTTCGCAGGGCGGGCACCAAACTCTGGGGGTGTTTATTCTTTTTCTGGCCGGTTTTCGCCGCGTAATCTTTGTCGTTGGGTGCATTGATTACAGTATTTTCGAGCCAGCGCTTATAGTCCATGTAGTCAAAAGCAGGACCCGCATGCAAGGAGGGGAAGAATAAGACATATCCTGTGAAATCCAAAATCCCAGGAAGCTGACGAATAGCCTTTTCTCTTTGCGCACTGGAAAGATTTTTGTCGGCAATTCGTCCATCGGCCACGTTCCAAGCAAAAGACGAAAGCTTGATGACGAGGATCATTTGGGCACCAGTAATGTCTACGAGCCCTGGATCATTGATGAGTTGACGAGTAATATGGTTAATGGACATGTGTCCCATGACAAATGCAAGAACAATCCATGGCATTGATGATCTCTTTAGGTGTTTGGCCGCAACATATGCGAATGCTGAACTTATAAAAAGAGTCCTTAGACCAGTCCATAATTCAAAAAGGCCTACGAGATAGAATAAAGAAACACTAAATACTATCAGTGAGTGTTCATAGGTCCTCGACTTCCATAGATTTTTCTGACCTAATATTAAATAGGTTCTTCCAGTGGGGTTTGTTGTGAGGGATGCATCTTAAGAGGCCGGCGAGTGGAAACGAAAGAAAGAAGGTCGTGATGAGCTTGACTATGCGGCAATCAGCTAGAATGCGCGAAGTTAGATGAGGACATTAATTCACTTTCGTCCGGTGTAGCCCCTAAAATCGTCGAGGCATATTGGAAAGCAAGAGTTTTGGTTAGATTAGGCCGTCAAGCTTTGTGATTGCCAGGAACTCACTCGAATCGATATACGGTAACATTGGATAGCTCTTCGCAAGTAGGGAACTTGTCTAGTGATCAATCATTGACCGAAGGCAGAGCTCTGAAATACAGACATTGCGCTTGTACGAACGATCGAGCGTCGTTTCAAAGATTACGGTGTTGTGAAATGACCTGCATGGTTCTTTTTCTGGTACGTTGGATCAGAGCTAATTATGCGTGCTCGAGCAGTATATCTATTTGGGGCACCAGCTCAATTTGCTACCTACACTAGCTAGGATTGGACATTTTAACTATGTTATCTGAATTTCAGCTAAAACACCGAAGCTCCCTATCCCTGCTACAAACAGACCCGATAAGGCAAGAGGATAAATACGCATAAGCCCAACTCCCTTGCTACCCGAACCCCCAACAAGACCTAAAAAAGTTTAGTCATAGAGATAGGTAGCGAGCACAACAAGCCGGACCTTCATTCTATTCAAGGAAAGCCTTCGTAGTCATAGACTCCAAATGCCAGTGTGGATCTGGGTCACAAAGCGTTAAACACATGACAATTAAAACTAAAACCAAGTCAACGTAGATGGTCTTGGCGTGTCTTCGTGGGTAAAGGGTAGCTGGGTCGTGGCTAGCAACAGAAAATCTTTTAGAAGCTATGATAAACAACCTAAAAGGCATGGATAGAATTTCGATACTGGTCCTGAAAAATGGCTGACTGTATTAATTCCAAACTACAGAAGTAGAGGCAGCAGTGGTCTAAAGAATGGATCCTTCGGGAAAGGGATATGAGGTGATGCACATTGGATGAAAAGTATAAGTGCTTTATCGACGGAAATACTCGAGACTCAAGACAGAAGACAGACATCATCGGGGGTTATTATTGAGTGGGGTTCACGTCTATAAATATTATAGCTATCTTAGACCTGGCATATACAGTATTATTACGATGTAAATAATATATGGGTCACATATTTACCTGACTGTTAGTGGTAACCAGTTGGGCAGAAAACCTGCGTGCCGTGTTGTGTTGAGGAATATAGCGGTCACAATAAGTTGGCGTTCCGATGTTAAAGAATAGGCAGGATAATAGATCACTCGCTCCGTTTAGGACACGAGTAGATTAGATTTATATTAACGTCCTACCTGAATCAATGACTATAGAGGACTCGCAGAATCTGTGTAGAAGATACTAGCTACATTTTCAAGGTCCAGTTGTTGTACTATGATCTTCGTTCTCACTCACAGTGAGGGACAAACCCTAAAGAGGTCACCGAAGACACGGGTAAGGAACACCAGTATTGGCTCTACAAGCCAGATCACTCGTGGACTACGAATAATGTATGTAAGATGGGAAACGTGTACTGTAATTTTAAATATTTGTTAACATAGCAATTGTTATTCCATTCCGACAAGCTACAGACCCCGTCACGGGCTAAATGAATTCAAGTAAGCTCGAGTGCTATTCAGGACGAGTCACGACTTGAGAAGGAAGGCAACCTTCGTAGGCAACTATTGCGTTGGTGGTGTAAGTTGACGCTGGAGAACGAAGTTGAGGAGACAGGACTACATACATACAGTGGGTAGGTATGCACGTGCCGAGTGGCACGTGCATGTGAGGTCAACGGCTGCAACTGGATGATAGCTAATGTTTTCACACCATAATTTAGAGTCTAGTATAATTTTAGACTCTACTGTGACATCTAGGCCAATTTTAGCTACAGACCAATGATACCTTCACTTCAAGTAGTATATCTTCTTCAATACTTCCTGTAGAGTTCTCTTCTCACACTATCACTCCTCACAAGATAGCTAGGGCACGACCCTCATCATCTATTGGCAAAAATTGAACACAACCACGTACAAATTTATTGTTAACTTTAAAGCTATTTAGAAAGTTTTAGCTGTCCTTCATAGTCATAGACTCAGTAGGGACATAAATTAAAAAAAATTCAATTCAACTCCTCATAAGTCTTCCCTTGATGCTAATACTTGTAAGGGCGTTATGTCCTTGGTCATTTGCGGGTGCAGAGTAATACCAGCATATTCTTGATGCAAATTATACACTGCAGTCCTGAGGATGCGAGACTTGAAGGCCTCCTTGTCAGCAAAAAGCTTCCGTAAACCCTGATGATCATGTGACAAGTATAAGATGATATTAATGTCACATAATATTTTATTATTGTCCTATATGAGTCTATGACTATGGAGTAATTTTGAATTTACATAGATGAGACTATGTATAATTTATTGAACCATGATAACTTTCAACTAATTATCTTAGACAGTGAGGAAGTATTAATGTCGGAGTCTGGACGCAAGAAAAGAGATTCTGTATTTAAATCGATGATTCCGTATGGCTGTGTTAGATCATGTTACTTGTAGCCTCTCTCTCTCTACCACTCAAGCTGGTAGTTTGGAGCTACGCGTTACCTACAACACACACCTGCACGTGGCCAAGGTTATCTCGGGCCTTCAAACACTCGAATCCCCGACGAGCCTCACTGCGGTGAAGGATTGAAGATCTTTTATCGTTTGATACTTATCCAGCCATGTAGCCGCGTCAAGTGACCAATGCTTTGTGGAAATGTGAGGTGAATATTTTGACTTCAGAGACTGTCATAGCTTGGTTCTCATACGCAAATACCGCCGCGATATATTTTTGCTTACGCAAACAGTCGGCCCGACGTGGGTACCCATCAACGAGAAGGTTTTAGATACTTGCCTATCCTGGCATGTTTTCGTCACGCTGTTCACAAGTTTAGGAATACTCTCGCACACAGTACCTCCAATCATGATTGGAGGTGCTCAAACCTAAAACTAATCAGGAAGGGGCATGGATTAGTCACAGAAGGAAAAGTGGCCAAGGCTGACGTAGAAAACTTTTCGTGGTTGGATAGAAAGATATGGAGGATGTCCTTGGAGATAGAATTCTTATGGTGTGAAGATAAGATAATTTATTTCTTAATTTCTCCCATAGGAAACTTAAAGTATTTGTCGTTATAATCTACTGAATCAACCATAAGTATCAGGGCAAATGTGGTCTATCATTCCTAGAATCACGTCCGCGATTTCCTGTGCCTAGCGGGATGTGTTTCCCAAATATTCGGACTCTACTTGGGAAACCAGCCTGCATGGTGTGCCACCGCACCGACCAACTATGACCGTGCTGTAGGATCACCTGCTCTCCAACATGATTTCTCTGTGACTTTTTTAACGTGTATTCTGCTACAAGCTGTAACATACGACCAGTGCAATGTATATATCTTAGATGACTCTTTTGACTTTAAAGGCACTCATACTCTGTATTTCATTTGCAAATATCACGAAAAGATATTTTTAGATTACACAAAAATTCAGTCCTACTCCGTGAACACCCACCAAAGGGACGTTACAAAACCGTTGATTGTCCCAGCTTGCCTTCGTCATCCGTGTATACAAGACCCGCAAGAAATATGGTTGTGTTTTGCTGAATTTGGACTAGCGTTCTCCTGTCTTGAGTGAGATATGTGTCCTAGGTATCTAGACTTTACTTGGCAGACCGACCAAGACGATGTACCACCGCACCATCCAACCATGGCGGTGTTTATAGTGTCGCCCGCACTCTCGCACCGAAGAATTGGCACGCACGAAGGTCGATTTTTAAAAACTCCTTGCCAAAGTTCGAAATTTCACGCTCATCGAGGTTATATCCATCCTTTGCATCATCTTGTAAACTTGTCCTGATCCCTCTCACGTCCATCCCAAAGATCTATCTCCCAGGTTTGTACGCCACGTTTTGCTTCCTCCGTTGGGTGTAAATATCGGCGTGGGCGTGTATTTGGTGAGTGAATGTGTGATTATATCGTGCTACTTGATTCTATGACTATCTAACACATTGTGCTCCTATCTAATCCAGGCCACATTTTCTACAGTCCTCCTATCTTCTTCTGGACCTGAAGGATCATTGGTTTATCGCCCGTGGTAAACAGCCATTCAGCTCAGTATTTACCCCTGAATTCCAGCCGCCTTATCCCCGTAACCTTCTACCCAAGTTAAAAAAATGTAGCTTCAGAAACTGCGTGCGCGATAAAAATCCTTAAAACGCCTACTACGCCGGAGTCACACGCGATGCGTATATTCGTCGATATCTCTTGTCACAGGTCCTGTGCCCGCTAGGATACTCCCTGTAAAATAACTTTGTATTACAACCTCTTCAGCGCATCATAGAGCGACTCCCGTATTATAATTTTCTAGAGGATCCAAATAGACTTTGATTACTTCGTTCGATCGTACAGATCACAACCTCATTTCGTGATGTATTATGATTCTCTATCTCTTCATATTCTCGAGCAGCCAAACCTGCGGCGTCTAGCGGTACCGGCAACAACCTCAAATTAACTCAACCTTTTTAGTCCAATTTCTAAGTCTTGAGCACATCTTCTCAGCTCTGAAAGGCTCATAGCTCGCTACATTTTAGCTAGCACCTAAGTTGATTGCAATCATGTCAAATATCAACGCTAACAATCAAACCAGAGAAGTCCATAATGCTATGGCCAGAGTGGTCGTGAGATTCCGCAGACATTCCCGCCTTTTGTATCAGCCTTGAAGGAGTCGCAGAAGGGCATACAAATGAGAAATATTTTTGTTATTCGGTCTTTTCTCAATCCCTTCCCGCCGAGGATCAGCGTCGAGTTGCATGTTGCATGAAAGTTCGGAAAAACTCAGGCAATTGAAATAGCGAAAGGTTCATATCCCACCTCAAAGACCTTTTTGTAGACAGGGATACAACGACAAGAGCTTAGACCAAAATCAACGCTCTTCACCAAGGACCGCAACAAACCTTTCCTAAGGTTCAGATCAGTTCTCGAGCAGCTTTTCTCTAAAGCAGAGCGCCTTGCACCTGTCGGGGCATTAAAGGTCAATGCCATGAATTATGAGGTAGCTTCGTACTTTCCTCAGGAAATAGCCAATCGTTAATGAGTTTCTGAAAAAAACTACGATAGCTTTGTTAGGGAGGTCCAAAGCCTCGACAGAGAGCTTGAATCAACTCCCAGCTTCCGAGAAATTCGCGGCTCTGATATGGAATCATTTTTAGATGAAAGAACCCCACAAGCTACCCTGACACACGTAGATATAAACATAGAGATTTAACAGTCGTACCAATCCTCAAGCAGAATGGACCAGCCCACAACACAACACAATTCGATAAAGATAGTAATCTTCATATGGCTGATATAAGCTCGCTTCAAAGCCAGATCGAAGCCCAGACTCACGTAATTCTAGTCGTGCTTAATGGTACAAGCCCGAAGGTGCCAGGTAGTAACAGTAGGACAAATGATAAACGCCCATTCGCCCCGGAAGTTTCAAAAGCCGAAAGAAATTATCAAATTGATAACCAGAGGTGGGAAAGATTCGGCAAGTATCCTTCTCACCGATGGAGGTATTGCCGCTTTCGAAACTTTCGTGAAATTCCAACATCTAGGGGCTAAATTTCTAATCGGTGAGCCGGGGTCAATTAGATGGGTAAGGAACCATTAGAAGTTGATTTTTTTCGGATTCGGAAAATTAGTAGCCTCTGAGAAAAATTGTGCTCTGAAGTGTCTGGTATATGTATTAATTGGGAGGACTTCTATCGCAGTATGACTGTATAGAAGACGATGGAATTAGCACAGAGGATTGAGGTCAGATAGAATCAGATATTCGAATTAACTAAAAGTATACTAAGATCGAAACAGCCAGACTCCCAAGTACAAATTTTTCTCCACGCGACTGATCTGCATGAATAGCGAAATTGACGCGACTCATGTGTTTGACTCTGCCTGACTCGGATTGCCCCTGTAGCAGCTAGACACACCTTGTCATTTAACAATATGATTCATTCGGTGTAAGTTTGAAGGAGCCGTCGAGGGAAATTCTAGCCGCGAAAAAGAGAATGGATAGCAAGCCGTTTTTGATAGATACATTATTAATGACCAACTCTTTCTCGCAGCTCTTTTGGACTGAGACTTTCTCCCATGGGCTGCTCTCAGGGAAAATATCGTCCAGAAACATAAACTTCCACGAATTACAGTAGAACAAAGAAATCTCCGGCCTTCAAAAAATGAAAAGTCCCCCCACAAAATAAACCAAATAACACACATCACCCTTGATATTAATGGTCGACTAAAACGATCATGTGGATATGTTATTCAAGGCTTGCACTATTATTTAATACTTGGTAAGAGATGGGCGGAAAGAAATAACGTTGTTTACCAGCCGTAGAGTCATACTCTGTATGTTGATAAAGGAGATTAGCAAGTGAAAATTCTTGAAAAGGGGTGGATCGAGTGCGGAGATGTAGTAAACAGGACCAGATATATCCGAGAAGGGAAGCTCTGATCCGCGCTTGCATTTTCCGCTTTCACGAAAAAGGCTAAAACTGGCCTGTAAGATCTCATTTTAGTATCTGTATCAATTGCAGATATCAACAAAGCATTGTAAAAGCTCAACACAAAACGAGTGAAGCCTACTATTGAATGAATCGGTAAACAATTTCCCAGGTAGCTCAATGGATTCGAAGACATATTCTTAGAGGACCAATCTGTGAGCTATCTCCCGATTGACCTGGTCATGACATGGAGATAAAATTGGAGAAGGATGCAAGCGACAATGAAAAGAAACCGCCGTACGGGCCACTCTATGAAATGTCAAAGGAAGAGTTATTGGTTCTTCGGAAAACTCTCGCTGATATCCTTAATATAAGCTGGATAAGAGCAAGTTACTCGCCAGCTAGCTCACCCGTGCTTTTTGCAAGGAATCCAGGGGTTGGCTTAAGGTTTTGTGTGGACTATCGTGGTCTTAACGCAATTACGAAAAAAGATCGTTACCTGCTCCCACCTATTAGAGAAACACTACGTCAACTGACAAAAGCCCGTTGATTTACGAAAGTAGATGTGCGCGCTGCCTCTCACCGCTTGCATATCAAAGAGGGAGATCGGTGGAAAACTGCCCGTCTGAATGTGGGGATTTATTTATTTATAATATTTAATGTCGTGCCCGCTCACAGCATGTGAGCTTTTCACATACCGGTTAGACCAGTCTAAATTAAATTACCCGACGCGTTGGAGCCTATACAGACCAAAAACAGCAAAAGAAGATCAGGATCTAGTCATCCTGCGCTCGATAATTAAAACATATATGAGCGTCAGCCTCATGCCGGACCCCATGATTTACAGATGGTAGTTAAAGGGAAAAGAAAAAAAACTAATATGTGTCCATCAATCTGAGGCTCTCTAGCCTTCTATTTTGTGGTTCAAGTCTAGTTAGATTTGCTGGAATGTGAAGATTATTGGCAGTTCCAGCAACAGCTTACATGTAAAGGCACGTGATTGCATAATCAGACGGATCATGTAGAGGATACCAATTAGTGTAGCAGGCAGATACGAGAGAGAAGAGTTGTTTGGATTAGGTTGTAGTTGGCAATTCCTGATCTAATTGTGTTAGATTGCAGGCTTCTGTCTTAGGTATTCATAGGTTCTTTTTTTTTTTTTTTAATATCATATTGTATTCAGCTATCTAGCTATGACAAGTATTCATAGGTTCGTAGTTAAGGTTATTATTAAGGTTTAGCTTCGGTTATTTCACTGATTACCGAGACGGCAGCATATCAAGGAGGCATGTAGCTCAGCTGGAAGTATCGCACGGTAAACTATATCTGTAGCTGCAACGTATTGTAGTAGCTAAAAGAATACTGCTATTCGGAAACTACAGCTCCATCGTAGAACCATGAGATAAATCAGGCTATGCACGCTAAATATAGAATGGCTAGCGGATATGGTAAATATGGGGGTAAATACCTAGATATATAAAGACATTCTAGTCTCTAAATTGCAGGACAAGTCTTCTACAAATTATATTGGAATCAATCTTAGCCTCTCATTAAGCAATCTCATGAATCTATTTCCGTGTCTGTGATAACAGTCCAATATACAAAGTCGACGATCAAACTAAAGTCGATTAAGAGTACAACACGAGATGTCGAAAGTAACACATACGTTGCAACAGATATCACATACCTGTGACACAAACACTGATCTGTGGTTAATTTAGCGTGCAAGCGAGCACCTGTTTTATCACAGAGCAGCTGTTATGAATCTACTTATTGGTAGATTTTCGAAGCTGTTAAGCCGCAGAGGTCGAGTCGATTTCGACCAAGATAAATTATCAAAGTTATGAAGTTACAAATGTGCGAATTTGCGTGTTGATTACGAAGAGACAAATGAGGTAATCGAGTTTCGGATTATCAAAGGTTACGAATTTATATGTTCAAATTGTTATGTTATCAAAATAGCGAGTTTCGAATTAGCGAATTATCAAAAAACGAAATTGTTGGAGATAGGGGACAAATCCAAAATGTCCGGCCTGAACAAATCTAAATCCTGTTGCCTTAGCCCTAACCGAATTAAGAAAATAACCCCTGCAACACCACATCCAGATTACATCTAACAAATTCATAATAGCAGCAAGGTTAAAAGCGGAAGAGCAGAACCTATTGGCTAGCATTAAGCTGCAGCAAAGTCAACTTGCCCATTTTACACTTTTAAATCTCTTTTACTACTACAAATAAATTTGATATCCAATCAAATAGCCATTGACAAACCTATCGATCTGCAGAATCATTTCCTTATCATCCACATCTGTAGATAAAACGCCGAAACGAAAAAATGACCGATGCCAGCAGCAGCTCCCAGCCTACGCCTACATGGCTCGGAAAAACTTCAGACAGGCAGAGATCGCAACTAAACATACCACGAAGATACATCCTGTGATATGGGGCAAGACAGTTGACTACCAGATAAGCCCACCCCTAAAAAGGAGGAAAAAATTTTATTTGATGATGAGCTTCCACACAATCCTACCACGTTTGACCGATCCAGCAATCTGCCTACGCCACGGCAAAATTTATCGATTTCGCAATGCTTTTCGAGTAGCGCCTCAAAATACGATGGTAATAAGTATTAGGCTATCGGTGGCGCCCATTTTATTTTTCATCGCAATTACGACATCAACAATATCTCATACCCGGCCCGTGGCCATCTATTCTAACACGTGCTGAAAGGCGAAGCCCTAACATTTTTCAGTACCGAAGTGTGCCAGTTCACTGAAATTGACAAAATAGTACTGTTAATGAGGAAGTATTTTCGACCAGAGAGTAGTCGGCAGCAGTTTCTGCAAGAGTGGGGAAGTGTTAGTTTATAACTCAATGTACAGCAGCATCCGTATAAGTCGAGGTGGACTGCTTCGATATTATGCTACAAAACCTTCTCAAGATCAAAAAGCTACTGTCTTCCGATATGCAGACTGATAGCCATCTACGACTTAAGATGCAAGCTGCCTGCAAGAGTTATCCGGATATTCATCATGCCATATTGAAAGATGCGTCGAATTTCCGTGAGGTGACAAACAATATCTGGTCATCAATTTGACTACTAGATTCTACCAATACACCCTTCTCCTCTACCCACATTAGTACTCAAGCAACTATCTACCTCCAAAAATGATCCTCAATACCTGCTACACAAAACGACGACGTCAACGAAACGTTTCTGATAGACTGCAAATATAATGGTAATAAGCCCTACTGAAATGGGTTTAATAAGGAAAAGCAAAGCCGGACTAGGTTTTACGTATGCAAAAAGCTTGGATGCATCTCGTTTAATTATACTGATAGTGAACGAGAGGTAACTTTCCAAAAGTATGCCAATCGTCACGTCAAGAGGCAAGGGGGTGGACCTTTTCCAAGGCCCAGTATGAAACTTTTCTCTAACACGCTGAAATCTTTGACGATGACGCTTCAAGTGATGAAGATGACCTAAATGAAGATGAAAGAGGTACTAGACCATCAGAGATATATTTTTGTTCAAGCTTTTTCACATCCATGCTGTTACGGCGCATCGTGTGTTAGATAAAGATCGCCATCTGCCAAAGGTATCTTCGTAAGGATTAAAGGATAATACTTAATATGGTATATGAAGAATTGAACTAGCGGGATCCCAGGTGATAAAGACGAGAGAGGCGGGGAGCTGACGAAGTACTAAAACGAGAAGGAAGTAAGATTGTGAGAAGTATGCTATAATAATATAAGATTGTGAAGCTGGAGGACTGCCTTGTGGTAGCTCCTGCTTCCTTAAGTATAACCAACTGTCTAACACAATCCAACTAAGACTATAGTAATTTCTCATCATAACTCAAACCGTGACCTCAACCATATTGATTCGAGTTGGCGCATTATATGGTCTCACCATATAAGTCCAGGTATTGAGGGCGAGCCGAAAACCTATTATTTGAACTTCATCCTCGGACCTTCCACTTAGACTCTGGTTCAGGAATATTTCGCCATGACACAGACACTCGTCGACTGCATTTTTAGGGCAAAAGGTCGCAGAAGCTCTCAATAAATATTCGACCTTGCATGCAGTAACAGGCTCGACACCGCAGCTACCACAATCCAGCTCCAGCCCTCACTCTATATTGCCCACTAGTTTTTTGCAGGATCGATATTCAGCTAATATATTTCAAGATATTACACCTGATAGCGGTGCGGCCGAAATTTCAACAGCAGGTGAGGCACAATTCGAATCACAAAGTCAAATAAATCCTAACATTAGCCTTGTACCCCCTCAAGACAAACGTACTGTCCGGTTTGGCGATGCAGCTGCCCAGACATCGCTGGGCACAACGGCTATAAACAAACCCTCTGGATTCGTAGTGTTTCACGTACTACTGACGAAGACACCCATCTTATTAAGTGCTCAAGACATGGCGAGACTACAGATCGAAGTCTAGCTTCATAATGGCTACCTTTTCGCGTATCTGATAGCGTAAAAGTCTCACTGGTCTAGAAATGGACCTATCCCTGATTCTTGTTACATGGCCTCGAAAAAGCTGTCGTTCATAGCCAAATGTTTGTAGAAACAGAGTTACGGCAGATACATCGCCGATTTGGGCATTCGTCAATTAGTCGGCTACACAAAATATTGTCGAGAGCCGGCCATGGTAGCAATTCACTATTGGCCTTAATCGAATCTATTGCCAAGTTCTGTCGGCATTGCCAGCTGAAAGCAAAGGCACCAGGTCGCTTCAAATTTAAGTTTCAAGATGATGATATTCACTTCAACTATAAAATAATACTTGACGTCTTTAATCTGGAGACGAATTTACCCGTTCTTCGTGTTGTCGACGTTGCGACATCTTATCAAGCTGCGTGGTCCTTGAAAGATATATTGGCAGCCCATACCTGGAAAGCTTTACGACAGTGCTGGACCAACGTTTATCTTAGCCCGCTCGATTTTATAAGCCACGACTCAGGTTGAAATTTCTCGTGCAACAAATGTCGACAGTCTACAAAGCTAATGGCAACCGATCGAGGCCCATAACAGCCTTGGAAAGGCAGAAAGATACCATACCATTCTACGTCGAGCCTATGAAGACATACGGTTAGAGGATCCATCAACACCTCGAGACGCGGCCCTTCAAATGACTGTTAAGACTTTTAACGACTCTGCCGTCCCAGACGGCTTAACGCCTACGTTATTAGTTTTCAATGCCTATCTACTCCTAACAAATTACTGTCATCCATCGCCTGAGCTACGCCATGGAGCTGCTGCTATATACAAGGCTGCCCAAGAGATTCAACGCCTGCATGCTAGCTAGAATTTTGCTGCAGCTCTCCACAAGCGCAACGGCCCAGATACGCTACCTACACTGAACTTGCCTCTGCTATCGAAGGTCCATATCTGGCGTGAAAAACAGGATTGGCAGGGCTCATACAGGCTGCTATCGATAGCAGGCGAGAGCTATATTTTGCAACTACATCAGGGCTCACGAAAACTCCGATCGATAGCAGTAAAGCCATACTACGAGATCAGCGAAGACCCACCAACAGCGTCTAACCATTTGCCTGAACCACAATCTGACACATCGCTTTCAATGACTCAAGAAGCTTGCTCGGAGATTGCCTCCCCGAAAGATATTGCCCAAAATGACTCTTCTAAACCTAACAACTATGTTGTCTCACCAGCAAGACTAAGTAGTCGCCAGAGAAAAATTCAAGTTGCGCAACTGAAAAATCAATATCACGCCTGGCCAGAAGTCGAGCTGTGCACACTTTTTGTCTCTACACGAGAACAATATTATGGCTCTTCTCATGACTCTCCATAAAAGGGCGAAAGTATGCCTAAGCAGTACTGGGGGTGTCTAGTTGTCATAGTAACACAATTATACGGGTGAGGATCCCTGATCATAGACATTGTATTGTAATTTGTCACGTGTACCCCAGTCTTTATGCATACTGCGCACTAAACAAGAATCCTGTATATCCTAGACACATCCTGTAATTTTAGAGGAAAGTCATACACCGCCTCAAGAATTCACTATACAGAAGATACAGCAGAAATCCAGAGACATTGTTAACCTACGATTTCCGTATATCCACATTTTACCACCGTAACATCCTAGGAACTTATAACCTCAAAAATAATTATTTTTGAAGAGAAAAACTTTCGCTAATTTTTGGAAAAATGTCTGATTCCAACCCACCACAGTCATCTTCGTCGACTAGCCATCCTAAAATTTTCTCGCTCAACAAGAAAATGAAAGAAGCTTTTGCCGAAACTGAAGCTTGTTTTAAGAGTTTAGAAAAAGTGATTGATCTCGGCCACATCAACAAGGATAGCCGAATTGATATAATAGAGACGCGGTTGAATAGAATAGAAGATATAAACTCCAACATGGAAAGAATACTTCTTCAGATACAAAGCATGTTGAACTAATAAGTTTAAAATAAGATGGAGTCATATACCAAGGGCAAGAGAGTCGAGAAAGAAGAGAGGAAGAATTAAGAAAATTCTCCCGTTTTGACCCCCGAATTTATCAAAAATCGGAGGTGAAAAGAACAGAATTTGGGAGGATTAACTTGCCAGAAGATGTTGAAAGCAACATTTATCTCACTCCCGAGTATATATTTGTTAAGAAAGCTTGGCCAGAGGCTAAATTTCCGGTCGATGTGCAGGACGAGGCTGTTACAAGTGTCAAAAACAAAGTTGTTCTAAAACCTGAATGGCGACTCGTTATCACAGATTCAGAGGTAATTCGCAAATTATCAAGCATCTAAAATGCTTTAAAAATGGCATTCATCCCATATCATTTGTGACCTCAAAGAGTCACTATAGAGATGAGTGGCGATTTTCATGGAGTGCGAGCCTGGGCTACAGGCAAGCGCCCTACATGGATACTTCTATTGGAAGCCATCTTCACGACAATGCAGAGACTAAACGTTCTCCATAGTCCTCCAACCACGTTTTCGCTTTTGTCCCCAAAAAAGGACGAATCGCCACACGCTTTTGCTTGGCGTTTACGTGACGCCTACTACAACTTGTCTGGGACTGATCGTGTTTCTGATTCCACTAGGAATCTGTTAAAGGAGTTGGTTCAAAATAATCTACCCCGAGTATGGACCTTAGCTTTTCCCCATATAAACTCCTCGACAAATCAAGAAATAATAGAGATGGTCGTATAGATTGCTTCGCAAATAATGAAATGGCCTATAGAGGATAAGATGCCATGAAGTAATAAGGTAAAGATCTTCGATAGTATAGAACATGTGGACTTACCGTCTCTCGAAGCCCAAGCGTTCAAAATTTCAAAATGCGAAGAAGAATGTTTTGCCAACAGCGACTGTTACGGCTGGTATGTGAAGAGATAGCCGTCTTCGAGATTGGGAACTGGCCGATGTTGCACGAGAGAATATCAGAACGGACGAGGACAAAAATAGCTTGTGGATTAATAATACAGAATGCAAAACTACAGAACTAAAGCTACCTCTTACACCTAACTAAGTACAACTGTACAGCCTAGCGTGACTCAACTAAATGTTGGCGCCTGATATGATAAGGCCTCCACACTTCGGGCCAGTGTTTATGGCACAATGGTATAGCCACAACTACAAGTCATCATACTGAGTAGTAGTCATACTGAGCCATAACAGCGACAGTAACTGCTACGCATGTGAAAAAAAGGGCATTGGGCAAATAAATGTCCAACATCTCTAAATCTAAGAAACAAAAAGATGCCTTCCAGTTCGTCGAAGCAAGCTAGTAGTAAATTTTATGGAAAGTACCACGAACTCCAAGATAAATTAACTCATCTTCGAGACTCAAGAAGACGCCCAAATAACAGAGATGATCGGAATTTAACCAAATACTACCTAGTGAATCCAAATGGAGACGAAAAGAGTCAATGGGATCCTTACTCAACCCTACCAGATGTAAGTTTAGAAAACGAACTAAACACCTTGATTGACGAAGTGGAGATGGAAGACACAATCCAATAGAGATGTCAAGACACCTATTTTGCGGCCGTAGGCGCTGTTAAAAACAACCAAACTTTCCCAAAAGATTCAATAAGGGAAGGATTCGGAAGGCCTCATCTTTTTTTTTCTAAACTTTCTATTGTAATATTATCGTGTTATTGATGATACCAAAATGATATGAATAATGATCCTGATAATATTCGATTGATTGCTTGCTTTGTGTTTCTATCTGAACATGAAGATATCGCCATATCATATACAAGTCTCTTGTGCTAGCCTTTATCCCAGATGACTAGGCCAGTACTACTTGATCGTAAACTGGGACTCATTGACTCAGTTATATCTCCCGTTGTCTACGTATCACTAGACCCTAGATTCACAACCATGACACGATACTAAGTATATATGATACTCCTTGGCTGCGACTTCCTGACCCGGATGCATCACCCAAGCATATATGACTCTGCCTCAAACTCGTTATGCGTGGTGGTTTACCTCCCCTGCCAA